CTCTCTTTTGGGGCACAAGGAAAGTTTGTACTTCTCTGCCACTTGTAGTTAAGTGTAGCCGTATAACTCTCTCTGGCCAATGAACTATGAGTAGAAGAGACCAGGTGGAAGTATGAAATTGCCAGTGTTCAACACTACTCCTCACTCTTCACTTTTACCTTTCTTTTTTTTTTTTTTTGCGGTACGCAGGCCTCTCACTGTCGTGGCCTCTCCCGTTGCGGAGCACAGGCTCTGGATGTGCAGGCTCAGTGGCCATGGCTCACGGGCCCAGCCGCTCCGCGGCATGTGGGATCCTCCCGGACCGGGGCACGAACCCGTGTCCCCCGCATCGGCAGGCGGACTCTCAACCACTGCACCACCAGGGAAGCCCTCGCTCTTCACTTTTGACAGCACATGTAGATAAAAAGTGCAACCTGAGGCATCACATGCAGGATGGCTGCCCTAAAAAGTCACCCAAACCTACAAAAAACTTGGTATGGGCAAGAAATCAAGCTTTCTTGTTTTATCCACTGAGATTATGGAGATGTTTGTTACTGCAGCATAACAAAACCCAGCCTAACAAAACCAGATTTCTTAGAAACAGCACCGCATCTGTTTGGGTAAAGTACTCTGACATGCTCTCAGTGCAAAGAAGGAGCCTTTCTGACACGCTCAAGCAACAAAAGATAAGCTAAACATCTATGTGTCCGATGGGGAAAGAAACTCCAGAGAGAGAGATACAGAAAAGAAAGGGAAGGGGGAACCCACAGGATGCTGGGGATGTGCATATGCTAATGTGACTCCTCCTCCTGCGACCTCTACAAGTCTGAAGTAAAGTGGACTTCAAACGTTTAGGAATGCTTAGTGAGAACGGAATTGTTTTGATCATTTATGAATATGCTTTTGTTTCTTGTTCACTTGTTTGCTGTGGTTTTCGTGGCTTTTTAAAAATTTTGTTTGTTTTGGTGGAAGCTGGGTCTTAAGAGGCTGAATTGCAAGACGTGTTGACACTGGGAGGAGTAGAGACAGCTCGTGCCACCGCAGGCAAGGATCGGGGGCGGGCAGAGAGCGCCATAAAGCAGAACTGCAAGCCCCTGGGAATTTGTAGGCCTCACCAGCCCCAGCCTCAGCCCCACTGCAACAGCAGCTGACACTTCCAAAGTAACCACCGTATCGCACTTTACACAATGAGCGCGTTAAATCCTCATAATATTACCTTTAAATTCTGTACTCTTATTTTCGTCTTGCAGATGAATGAACTGAGGCATCGAGGAGTTAAGTTGGCCATGCAAACAGCTCCCCCTTGTGGACCCCTCTTCCAATGACCGATTCCCTCTCCTTCAGGTCCTAACACAAATATTTTGTCTTCACAGAGACTCTCCCCAGGCACTGTTATCCACCTCTGTCATGCTAGGTCACAGCACCTATCACAATCCATGGCAAGTTGCTAATACTTTTAATTTTTGTATTGTTTTCCTCGGTTTATGTGATCGTCAGCTCCAGGACCACAGGAGCAGCGCTTGCCGTGTTTACTGTTTTATATCCCCCCCACCCCCAGTGCCTAGTGCAGCCATGAATGAACCAACATGTTGAGGAGCATGAACTGAGGTAACAGTGGTTGGATCTGTTAGGTGGGAAATCAGAACGCTTTCAGCCGCCAGTCACAAACGACCTGATTAAATGACATTAAAAAAATTAGGATGATTATTTTTTTTCTTTTCACATAGCAAAAAATCCAGTGTTTTATATAAACTAGAATTTGTATGTTTACCTATAAATAAGAAAAAAAATTCTTTTTCAGCAAACATACCAAAATGTTAACAGAGTTTGTCTCTCAGGGCAGGCTAGTAGGAGAATTTTATTTCCTTCTTTGTGCTTTTCTTTGCAGTTCCCATTTTCTTCAGTGAACATCTATTACATTTGTAATAAAAAATAGACATAAAAACCATTGGTACTTTTTTTAAACATCTCTTTGCCTTTGAGGTTGTGAATGAATTCTGGGGTCATTCTCTTCCACTGCTTCTCCTTCTCTGGACAAAATTAAGCCAATATCAACTGTATCACTTTGCACACAGTAGTCATTTCTACCTGTTTTGATTAATGAATGGGGAACATGGAGGGAATAAAGAAGTACAGAATCTGTTCATTGTCCGTGAAGGGAAAGCTAATGGAGGGAAGACTTTTCTTCACGGGCCTCAGCTGGTTGCTGCAATGGAAGATGGTGGGAAAGATACATAAAGCTGTAGAGTCCAAGAGCTCAGGTTTTGAAGTCAGATGGGTCTGGGTTCAAATCCCACTTCTGTTACCAATCTGGCTGAGCAACTCTGGGAAATTTATGTAACCTCCTGACCTCTCTGATGTGACACAGAATTAAACCTTTTCTTCACAAGCCAGAAGGGAGAGAGGGAGATCCCACAAGGAAAAGCAGAAAGTGCTCAATATGTTAGCTATCACTTTTGTGGCTGTCATTACCATTATCGTCAGCCGTGACTGCTACATCATCTCAGCTGCTCTCTCCCTCCCTCCCTCCCTCCTGGGCTCTCCACCCACGGAAACCCTAAAGAGTTGGCAATCAATCCAAGCTGGGAAGGTGGGACCAGCTTCAGCCTCCACTGCACCTTTATCACTGTTATTCACAAACTCGTAAACGTCCTGATGATTAAGGGTGGACTGTATTTATGAAACATTTTTGCACTGTATAGAGTGCATACAAAGCTTTTTGCAGGAGGTGCTATACTTCAGATGAAACAGACTTTCTTTAGTTTAGGGAGGCATTCTCAATTATTTCTTTCAGTCTTACAGACTCCCTAGTTAGTTAAGAAATCTAGAGCCTCACTACCTGCCCCAGATCACTTCCCCATTTTTTTTAAATTAATTAATTAATTAATTTATGGCTGTGTTGGGTCTTTGTTTCTGTGCGAGGGCTTTCTCTAGTTGTGGCAAGTGGGGGTCACTCTTCATAGCGGTGCACGGGCCTCTCACTATCGCGGCCTCTCCTGTTGCAGAGCACAGGCTCCAGACGTGCAGGCTCAGTAGCTGTGGCTCACGGGCCTCGTTGCTCCGCGGCATGTGGGATCCTCCCAGACCAGGGCTCAAACCTGTGTCCCCTGCATTAGCAGGCAGATTCTCAACCACTTCACCACCAGGGAAGCCCCACTTCCCCATTTTTACACATACACCTAACACTTCATTGAATACCTAACTTAGCGGATGTGATCCAAATACACCTTTGTTATTTGTCTTTGCCTTTGTTATTTGTCTTTCACTATCTCTTTAAAATTTATTGAAGTAGAGGAATCTCATTCGGATCCTAGAGAGAAATTCTGGCAGATCCATAAGTTTTCTGCTTGCTCTTAGTTAAAAAATAGTCCTCAATTCAGAAATTAAAATGTCCATTCTCACATGTGAACCCAAACTCTAAACTTGAGTTACAATCATATCTTCTCTGCTCCATCTGGGACCTGCTTCCCATCCTGCCTTTCTGCTCTTTATTCCCCACCCCACCTGGTAAGCAGTTTCTAAGCCCTCCTGGGCATATGCTTTGAGAGGGGGATGTGAGAAGAGAGGATACGTTAGTACATGTGCAGTACTACATGCCTTCTCAGGTTGGTAGAGACTAGGTCTTTTCCATAGGCCACTCTGTGGGACCTTCAGAGGTGACCCCCAACTGTGACCCCCATGAGGTGCTCATGTGCTGCCCTCAAACGTCACACAGTTTCTGTTGCCACTGATTCTTGCCGTGGGGGATTTCTCATGCTCAGACAGATGCCCCCTGAAGCAGGACTCGGAATGGATCCAGAATCTCTCCCTCTCTCTCTCTTTTACAAGCCTATCTCTGGTACAAGGGAATCCCTCTGACCCCCTTGTTTCCAGGAAAAATCTGGGATGGCAGGTAGATCCCAACATGGCCACCTCCACTCTGCTGCCACAGGTAACTCAAGCTTTTTCAGGCATACGTCAGGCACCGGCCCTTCGTGTCTTCCAACTACAGGGATTACATTTCAGGCTCCTCAGTATGGTCCCAGGCTGAGGGAACGAGGCCACAGTTGCCCCAAGCTGCTCACAAGCACAAGATCTCTCTCCAAAAACACCGTCACCAATCCCTCTCCTTCTACCACCTAATTTTTTTAATACCCTTAATCTAAACGAGGAGTACAAGACCCAAGGAACTGGTTTGTAACCATTGCCTGCATATATTCTGCACGAGTGAATCTGGCTTTGAAATTTACCATCTATTACAGTTGATGTTTCAATCTTGACATTTCAATATGAACACACATGCACATAACTTTGTTTTGTACGCTTTGGGGTTTTTTTATAATAAAAATGTAATCTTTTTACACCTCTTTTGCAACTTCCATTTTTTTCATCTAAACTTGTATCTTGCAGACTCTTATCAGTAAGTATATATGGTTTCAGTTATTTATTACCCTCTTGGTTATTAGACACAATCAGGTAGCCCAAACTCTACTCTGGCAGCAAGCAAAGATAAACTTTTCCAGTAGGGCAAATTTCACTCCTAGACCTGTTTAGCCTGGTGGACAGAAGTTTTTTTTGTTTTTTGGGTTTTTCTGTTTTGTTTGGATGTTGAGTTTTGTTTGTTTGTTTAATGACAACTGAGTGATTTTTGCTCAAAAAAACCACAAAACCCAAAATAAAAAATAATAAAAGCAACACTGAACCAATTGCCACAGATTTGTGTTACCTTCCTTCAGTTAGTTGTAAATAGAGTTTATGACTTCCCATACAGCTTGCACTCTCACTCCTCATTCTGTTTTTCTCCCCGTAAAATCACTTTTCTGGCCAACGTGAGGTCTTTTAAGGGCAGAAACGCAATTAGCTTTGTATTTTCCTCCAACCCGCACCAAGATCTCCTAGCCAGGCACAGTCCTTCCAAAAAAAAAAAAAAGGCACGAACTAGTTCAATCGTCCTTGCCGCTTTTTGCACCTCCCACCGCTAGAGGGCAATAAAACAGCAGGTGGCGCATTGGCAGTCAAAGAAGGCCGCTCCCGACGCGCCCGTCTTTACGTGGACGTTGGGGGAGGAGCTGTCCCGTGCGCGGTGACTGGCGGCGGCACTGGCGGCAGCTGGAGCCGTAATAGTGCGAGTCGCAGGCTAGGAGAACTTCAGAGGCGGCGGTGGCACTAGCGACGACGAAGACAGCAGTAACAGGCCCTGGGCTTGTCGTTCACCATGCCGACCGTAGAGGAGCTTTACCGCAACTATGGCATCTTAGCCGATGCCACGGAGCAAGTGGGCCAAGTGAGTTCCCTAGCGGCCTGCGGGGCCCGGCGCTCTGCGGCCTTTCGAAAGCGCTCCCCGGGCCGGCGGGGGCTACTGCTTCGCCCTCCCGCGGGCTCCCAGCCGCCCCGGCTGTATCGTCGGGGTGGGCCCCTCGCCGGGAGTGCAGACTCGGGCTTCACCAGGGAGAGCGCGGTCCCCGGGTTCCAGGCTCCTCTGCCTCCCTTGATTAGCCTTTTCTCACCGTGGCATTTCCCAACTCAGCCTCTTCAGCCCCCCGTCCCCGCCCCGTTCAGTCTCTTTCCAAGCCTTGTCCTCCAGATTCCACTGAAGTTTTTCTCCTTTTCGGTGGCGCTCAGTCCCTTGGAAGATTAGATTGAGAGTCCTCGAGAGGTCAAAAATGTCTTTCTCGAGGCAAAAATCTGCAATTAATTTACGAAGAGAATTTGGGAGACAGAAGTTTGTGAAATACAGAAAGGCCCTTTCGTCCAGACTTTAACGAGGGCTCATGATTTCATTATTCAGTACATTTTTTGAGCGCCTGTCATGGACCAGGCTCTGCGCCGGGCGCTGGAGGTACGAGACAGAAAAACACATGCGCTCCCAGAAAGCACCTTTAGTGAGGGAGACTAGTGATAAATAAGAAAGAGAGATGCTTCCCCCCCTTCCCCCAATGGAGTGTCGTGAAGAAAATATAACAGGGCCGTAGGGGGGGTTGGGGGAGAGTGCAGTTTTAAATAGAGTTGTCTGGCAAGTGTTGAATTGGCTGTACGAGCCATTGCTTCTTTGTGAATTTTCAAGTACTGGAGTCCTTTGAAGTTGAGGAATTGACAAGTGGTTGTGTGTTTTCTTGGGAAAAGAACCAGGCTCTCCCCGCGGTAATCTTGACCATTGTTGTTGGAAATCCCATGCTGTATCTTTTCAGTGCCTAGAACGTCATGTGATTCTTCTGCTTACCCATCTCTTGGAGTAGTGAGTGGCAGATCCCAGAGTCTGATAACATGAGCAAAACTGTGGCTTTACCTCTCCCATCCCCTTTTCCAGACATTCAGGTAGAACTTTTCTTAGCCGAACAAAAAAAAATTTTGATGTTGGGACCTTATTTTAGCTTAATCTAGAATTGCGAATATACCATTTTCAGATATCAGTTGGTTTTCCTTCCCTGCACGTTTTCATTTCAGTAGGAAATTTTGACATCATCAATGAGAAATATATACTGACAGTCAGTCTGTTGTAGATGTATGTAGGGTGTGTGTGTTAAGTTGGCTGGGAAGGAGACATTTTCTGCCGATTAAGGCAAGGTGGGAAAAACTTATGGTCACTCAGTTTGAGTTTGTTGTCCTTGTTCCTATAGAGAACTAGTAGTGAAGATAGTTTCATTCATTATGACTGAGTTGGGGGAGATTGTAGCTAATTGTTCTCCCTGAAATTGACTTTGTTGCGCATCAGCAGAGGGGATGGAATAAAAGGTACAACAGTGATTCTCAAGTCAATTTGTATATGGTGCTCTCCCAAAGAGGTGATTCAGGAATCTTCTAGGGAAACTTTGAAACTGTATGCAGAGTGCTGTCCCATAACCCCACCCTCATTTTTTGCTGAAGTAGGATAAAGGTTGACAGCCACCTACTTACAGTATGTTAGAGCAAATAGAAGCCAAATGGGATTTTTATATTCTATGAATAATGGAGAGTTGCTCTCATTTCCCTCTTATATTGTCTTTAATTATAAATACCAGTTTAGATTCAGAGTTCTCTCTCAAGAGGTCAGTAGTGTTTCTCAAGGCAAAAATCTGCTTTTAATTTAGGAAGAGTGCTTAGGAGACAGAATTTTGTGAAAAACAGGAGGGACCCTTTTATGCAGACTTTCATGAGGACCCACAATTTCATTTATTCAGTATGTTTTCTTGAGTGCCTACCATGTACCAGACTGTGCTGGGCAGTAAAATTTTAGCACGGTTCCCGTAGGCGATGGGAGATCAGTACCTTCATGACACTGTAATGACAATTGTCAAGCAACTAAATAAGGAAAAAAAATCTTTGGGTGATGAAAGGTTGTGATTTGCTCAGCCTCAAACAGTGAATTCTGGGAGAACTGAAGCTAGACTAAACCGTAATGCCAACTGATTCTGCTCTATTGTGTAATACTTCTTTCCTTTTAGAGAAAATTCCTAAAACTGCTCACCCAAAAAGGTGTATTGAGCTTCAAGATACTGCATGTGAATTTAATTAACAAAAGCAAGAGCCAACTTAACGGAATGGACACCATTCACGTTTTTTTAAGGAGAGAAAAAAATATTTACATTCATAGTGTAGCACAGCCAGATTTTCATGTCACCTTGTTAAGATTTACAGTCAAGACTTTAAATTTCCTGGCGGGTACCTATCTGGACACTTCTGAAACCATATTTGAGTTTCTTAGTCTAGAACTTACTTCTAACTTTATTTTGATTTTCGCCCTTTTTAAAAGAGATGAGTACCGCAGATGCTGCTCACAGAGCCACCACTGAAGGGAGTGCCCTCTCTGCTACTGTCAGTACTCCTTTTATTTTATTTTATTTATTTTTTTTAATTAGGAATATCTGCTTGCTTTTTTATATAGCCTATTGAAGAACTTTTTTTAACATTTTTATTGGAGTATAATTGCTTTAAAATGGTGTGTTAGTTTCTGCTTTATAACAGAGTGAATCAGTTATACATATACATATGTTCCCATATCTCTTTCATCTTGCGTCTCCCTCCCTCCCACCTTCCCTATCCCACCCCTCCAGGCAGTTACAAAGCACCGAGCTGATCTCCCTGTGCTATGCGACTGCTTCCCACTAGCTATCTATTTTACGTTTGGTAATGTATGTATGTCCATATATATACTACCACTCTCTCACTTTAACCAGCTTAACCTTCCTCCTCCCTGTGTCCTCAAGTCCATTCTCTACTACGTCTGTGTCTTTATTCACGTCTTGCCCCAAGTTCTTCATGACCTTTTTCTTTTTTTTTAGATCCCATATATATGTGTTAGCATACGGTATTTGTTTTTCTCTTTCTGACTTACTTCACTCTGTATGACAGACTCTAGGTCCATCCACCTCACTACAAATAACTCAATTTCATTTCTTTTTATGGCTGAGTAATATTCCATTGTATATATGTGCCACATCTTCTTCATCCATTCATCCGATGATGGACACTTAGGTTGTTTCCATGTGCTGGCTATTGTAAATAGAGCTGCAATGAACATTTTGGTACATGACTCTTTTTGAATTATGGTTTTCTCAGGGTATATGCCCAGTAGTGGGATTGCTGGGTCATATGGTAGTTCTATTTGTAGTTTTTTAAGGAACCTCCATACTGTTCTCCATAGTGGCTGTATCAATTTTCTCAGGGTATATGCCCAGTAGTGGGATTGCTGGGTCGTATGGTAGTTCTGTTTGTAGTTTTTTAAGGAACCTCCATACTGTTCTCCATAGTGGCTGTATCAATTTACATTCCCACCAACACTGCAAGAGTGTTCCCTTTTCTTCACACCCTCTCCAGAATTTATTGTTTGTAGATTTTTTGATGATGGCCATTCTGATGGGTGTGACATGATATCTCTTTGTAGTTTTGATTTGCATTTCTCTAATGATTAATGATGTTGAGCATTCTTTCATGTGTTCGTTGGCAATCTGTATATCTTCTTTGGAGAAATGTCTATTTAGGTCTTCTGCCCATTTTTGGATTGGGTTGTTTGTTTTTTTGATGTTGAGCTGCATGACCTGCTTGTAAATTTTGGAGATTAATCCTTTGTCAGTTGCTTCATTTGCAAATATTTTCTCCCATTCTGAGGGTTGTCTTTTCGTCTTGTTTATGTTTTCCTTTGCTGTGCAAAAGCTTTTGAGTTTCATTAGGTCCCATTTGTTTATTTTTGTTTTTATTTCCATTTCTCTAGGAGGTGGGTCAAAGAAGATCTTGCTGCGATTTATGTCATAGGGTGTTCTGCGTATGTTTTCCTCTAAGAGTTTTTTTTTAATTTTATTTATTTATGGCTGTGTTGGCTCTTCGTTTCTGTGTGAGGGCTTTCTCTAGCTGCGGGAAGTGGGGGCCACTCTTCATCGCGGTGCGCAGGCCTCTCACTATCGCGGCCTCTCTTGTTGCGGAGCACAGGTTCCAGACGCGCAGGCTCAGTAATTGTGGCTCACGGGGCTAGTTGCTCCGCGGCATGTGGGATCTTCCTAGACCAGGGCTCGAACCCGTGTCCCCTGCATTGGCAGGCAGATTCTCAACCACTGCGCCACCAGGGAAACCCTCCTCTAAGAGTTTGATAGTGTCTGGCCTTACATTTAGGTATTTAATCCATTTTGAGTTTATTTTTGAGTATGGTGTTAGGAAGTGTTCTAATTTCATATTTTTACACGTAGCTGTCCAGTTTTCCCAGCACCACTTATTGAAGAGGCTGTCTTTTCTCCACTGGATATTCTTGCCTCCTTTATCAAAGATAAGGCGAGCATATGTGCGTGGGTTTATCTCTGGGCTTTCTATCCTGTTCCGTTTATTTGTATTTCTGTTTTTGTGCCAGTACCATACTGTCTTGATTACTGTAGTTTTGTAGTATAGTCTGAAGTCAGGGAGCCTGATTCCTCCAGCTCCGTCTTTCTTTCTCAAGATTGATTTGGCTATTCGGGGTCTTTGTGTTTCCATACAAATTCTGAGATTTTTTGTTCTAGTTCTGTGAAAAATGCCAGTGGTAGTTTGATACGGATTGCATTGAATCTGTAGATTGCTTTGGGTAGTAGAGTCATTTTCACAATGTTGATTCTTCCAATCCAAGAACGTGGTATATCTCTCCATCTATTTGTATCATCTTTAATTTCTTTCATCAGTGTCTTATAATTTTTTTTTTTTGCATACAGTTCTTTTGTCTCCTTAAGTAGGTTTATTCTAGATATTTTATTCTTTTTGTTGCAGTGGTAAATGGGAGTGTTTTCTTAATTTCACTTTCAGATTTTTTCATCATTAGTGTATAGGAATGCAAGAGATTTCTGTGCA